TTTTATTGAATTTTAATATATCCAAACATTTTAAACAACTCAATAACAAAATATATATATATATATATATCACAGTGAATTAATTTACCACCTACACCAAGAACAAGCGGGCTTTGTTTCTGTTAAACTATCACTGTGATATGCAGAAGAATGAAGGAAAATTAAGAGCAGAATATAAAGTAACAAGGGATTCAAATCCATTTAATATGATTGATGGGCCACCTGTGTAAAATAGTGTATTTTGTTTTTTTAAAGCTACAAACTCTTGTTACGAAATAAGGACAAGAGTTTCTCTTTGTGGACGGTTTTCTATAAAAAGCTGTCTATTTATAGTTATGGTAGTTAAACCTGATGACCTCAATCTGCACTGGAGATATTTTTTTCAGAATGTTATGTAAGCCATTTGTTCTTCATGCTGTAAGCCTCTTTATTTGTGTGCCAAATTGATTGATCTAATTTTAAGAGGTTTTCTGTTTTACTTAAGCTTCAACATGAACTTAAATTTGTGGTGATTAAATAAAAATAAAAATACAAAAAAGCTGTGCTGTACAGCCCTGCAGAGAGTAGACCTTTGTGTTTTACTCTTCCGATGACAGGAAGGGTATTAGATTGCAGTAGCTAGATTTCTGGTAACTAACTTAAATGTGGACACAAGAAAAAGACACACAACAAGTAATCAGTTCATGTGATTAGAACTCTTGCACATAAAGCATGAATTCCCCATTTCTCCCGTCTCCACACATGAGAAAACACCAGCTACAATTCACTTCCTCTGTCCTACACAGACTTCTAATCTACTTCACTTATAGCTAACAGAAAAATCTACCTGATGAGATTATGGTGAGATGTATCTGTGCATGTGTTTGTAGGAAGTGGAGAACAAGCAAACAGAAGTGGTATCAGTGAGTGCACAACATACCTTAGCAAGGGAACGGACGATGGGGCTCTCCATGATCCCTCTGAGGAAGATGAGGTCAATATCTTTGGCTCCTGTGCCTGATGGCATGTCTCTCAGGTTCTCCAGCACCTGTTGCATGGCTGTAGAAGAACAGATAAACTTAAATGATTTAGCTAATTATTTGCCAACTGCTTTCTTTACTTCTTTTAAGCTCTAAAATGCACTGCTATGTAAAAACAGAGGCAGAAATGCTAGTGAAAAACCAACCTCGTGACCAGCAGTAATAAATATAATTAAAATTCAGAGCCAGTGGAAAACTATTTCAGTATACTACGAATGGACAAGGCAAGAACAACAAGTGGGGAGCGAATCAATGGGCCAATTCAAAGAACATTGCTCATTTCCATTGCAACAGCAACAAGGATGCACGGTCGGTCACCAAGGAATTGTTTCACTAATAGCTTTGTCTCGTAGTGACTAGTGACACAGGTCAAATTATTATTATTATTTTACTTCTAGCAACAAAATTAATGCAACATCTTTCTTGTCACCAAGAAAGACGTAGCAATAAAAACACTTCTCATTTTTTTCTCTTTTGTTTATATGAGGACTACAACACTGAATTAAAATGTAATCTGAACAGATGAGCCTGAAACGTTTTTATCAAGAGAACCATGTATTAAACATAGTTTTTTCTACATTTTTGTCCATAAAAAAGAACAAATGGAATTGTTGACAGGCGGCCAAAGGCACCCCCACAACTATCTCTGAGAAGTGGGCACAGTACCATTCAAATGGTAATTAAATGGCAAATATGGTAAACAACACTGCTGCAATTCCTGTGCAAAAGGCTAGTCGGGGACTTTGTCTCTTACAGCTTACCTGAGCCAGACTTTGCGTTGGCCACAGTCATGTTTATTATTCCACAGCTCAGGATGGTGAAACTCCCTAAACACGGTCAAAAGCCACCCAATTGCTGTTTACAGAAACCAGAGCAACTGGAGAGCTGCAGGATGTAGGAAACCCACTCGAGTCAGTACAGTATCACACTAAACAAGCCTTTTTCAATGATTAGAATCAAGCCTGCATTTACTGCTGTATGAGTGATAAACAGATGCAGAACGGAGAGCAATTAGAAAAGAAAGCATTTGTTGGTCTTTGTGTTTTATGCATGTTAGCACAAAGGGCACTCATGAATTAAGCAGATGACAAAGAGGGTGATTGAATGACAAAGGATGAGTCTTCCATCCTTCTGGCTAAAGGTTGTGCCAGCCACACACAGAAAGGGCCCTGGGGATTTTCTGTGCAAACACGGTCTCCAAACAGAGTGAGGAAAAAAAACTCTCGAACTCCCTCAATACACAGTAAGACAGTCGACTCAGGAAGCCTTGTTTGACTACAGATTGTGAACTGTATAAACATAAATGAAACACTGTATTCTAGCTATGCACTATCAACAAAAGCAGCAAAACAACCATGCTGACCTAAAACAAATACCAAAAAAACATGGCAACAACTCACCTAGTTACTGATTTCAGATCATCAGTGCAGCAGGCCAACACCGAGCCCCACGTTTTCTAAAAAACACTCATCTGGTACCTCTGGACTAATGAGAGAATGGAGGGAGAATAATCAGAAATTGAGCAAGACCGTTTTAACACCATTATAACTATCAATAAAAGCAAATCATGATAAATACGCAACTCCCTACCCTTAGGGTCCCTTTATTGTCCACACTTCTCCTGCCCATTCAATGTTATTGTAATGCAGTCATTGTGATTGGCCAAGATGATCACATGACCACTGTCTATTTAAAGAGGAATTTTATTTTAAAGCTTAAAGGAGTCAAATTATGGACCTACATGTTATCCGATTTAAAGTAATCAAAAAATAAATCATGTAGTAAAACAGTTATAATTTGTATGGGACGCGTGATTTTGGTATATTATATTTACATTAGTTAAATATTCTGTTTTACTTCTCAATTACATTTTTCAGTTGTTTCGTTTGCATTATACACAATATATTCTACGTAGGGAAGACAGCATTTCGTTGGTCCGTATTCTTAGCATTTGAATATAAGGTAAACGTTTAAACATTACTTCAAGGAAAATAAAACCTATGCACATCACAGCTGTTCTCATAAGAGTGTTCTCTCTTCTTTCTTTAAACTCCTGCAGCACTTCTTAGAAGAAGCTGAAATTGTCACCAAACCTCAGGCAGGACGAGTGACTTATAAATGTGTTCTCTGCAGCGGTTAAATTAACTGATGTCAAGCTACACACGCACTGGGCACGTGTAACCACTTCAACGTCAGGTAGCTTAGCTGAAATGGTAAGTAGAAGCCGTGAATACTAATTTTGGCGTTAATTACAACGACCAGTTGCTGGTTGAAATAAACTAAACCGTAGGTCTCTACTCTCAGGTCGTCTTGTCATTAACACCAGAGCTCGTGCCGTGTCCGTTTGGATCTCATATGCGGGCGAATTAGCAGCGCTAACTAGCAACTACGAGTGGCGTGCGCTCTAAGTTTTATTTTTGGCCGACAAATAATACTAATAATACATAATAACAGACATGCCAGCAAAATTTAAACAGGCTAGCTTCGGTAGTTAACGCTCAGTTAGTATCGGCCCTTGCAGCAGAGAAGTAAAATCAGCTAAAGTTAGCTTTGTAGTAGCTAATAGTAATATGTGGCTCATAGTAGCTACTTAACATTAGCCAGTGGCACAGTGAAATCCGAGAAACTACTAGGTCCCGTACCGTTACATAGCCTCACATAAACAAATGAATGAATGAAATATACTTTACCCAGTTAAATCAGTTTCCAGTCAAGCTTTCATTCTTTTCTTTATTCCGGAGTTTTATAATTCGCCGATCATTCGCGCACGAATAAGTTGTTACTGCGTTTTCAGAGTGCGTGCCTGCATGCGCCCCTGCTCTCAGTTCCCAGTCCACTCACGCACTGCTAATGTCATCCAGTGCGTTCAAGTTATATCTAGTGCAGCGAAAACCCGCAGTCTTCTCATATAACTTTCTGTTACACTAAAATAAATAAAGGTAGAAATATTAAGTAGAGTAAATGTTTATGTATGAAAGTAAGCTGTAGCAAAGTTGTTGCCCTCTTCAGATTTTTATGACCCCGTTAATGTACTTTTTGTTTTGTTTTTGACTAAATGTATTTTAACAACAGTACTTTGTTGAATTAAATATGCGAGTACTGTAAATTAAAATATACAGTTGCCTTTTGACCACCTATTGTGCCTTTTCATGGTTTTTATGAATAGGGATGAATATTGAGTCAATTATCCATTACTGAATTGGTTTATAGGTCTCATCCTTTATCTATTTCGTGTATTGATTCCTGATCTACTGTGAGTAAGCGAGTGTGTGTGTAGTCTTTAAAAACAAGTCGACTGAATGTCTAACCTTATATACAGATTAGTTTCTCTGCTGACTCCAGAAAAGCATGCACAATGATGACAGCTCATATTGCATAGCAAACAGCACAGCTAAGAACTAAACTGGAAGGATACGCTTACCCCAAGAGATACTGTAAGCCTCACTGCCATCTTTGAGTCCTGTAATAATTGTTGCCATGTCTGGCAACAAATAACCTCATCTGCACAACCGACATTCATAAAAAAGTGACATTTTCTCTCAAGGCACATAGAGACTACCATAGCATTGCATGATTTGCTTTTATGTATCCAGGTCACTTGATGAGATTAAAGTGTTAATCTGTTGTGAGTTAGGGTGCAGGCAAATCTCAGTAGGCTTGATAAAAGAGGTAAAAGTAAAGCTGAGAAAAACACTTTGATGTACTCACATTACTAATTTCTATTTCACATTTCCCCTAAATAGGACTCTTGCAGCAGACATGTTTTAAAAGCTATTTGCCCCACTTAAGAAAAACCTCAAAATGCTTAGATGTCAGCTCACCATCAGAGTGCACTGTTACTCCATCAGTGAATGACACAGAAAACACTGTTCACCACGTAAGACACACTTGTACTATCTAGCAACATGTCACAGTGCAGCAGTGGCAATAACACAAACAGTTTAAAGTAGTTTCTTTACACACAGCGTTTATTCCATGCAACACAAGTTCAATTCATGGGAGTAAAAGACATCATAGTGGCAGCGTTATGGTAAAGTCAACCTGGATGTAACAGCTCTAGCAGCATGGCAGCCCATCATACCTACAGAAACACATTAAAACATAATAATTAGAAATTGAGTCTCTAGAAAACACATTAAAATATCTGCATAATGTATCCCTCTTCCTAATCAGACTCAAGTAATATTCAGTCCAATGAAGAATATATAATATACAAGAATATATATATGGTAGTTTAACAGAGAGATAATGGGGTAAATAAATCTACCTGATATAGCTGGATCCTGGAACACTTTCTGTGCTCTCCCTCACTAGCACATCAGAAAATACAGTATCAGGACTGTCTCGTTTCCCATACCTGTGCATAAAGAAGATATCAGCAATTAAACAATATATTTTTCCATATAGGGTCAAGATGGACTTAATAATATAGAAGTAGATAACTAACCTCTGTCTTGTTATGAGGTTGATGTAGTGTCTTAGTGCAGAATAATATTTGGCAAGCTCCTCAGGTGGCGCGCCTTGCCGTGGATTGGCAGGTTTGGCTGGGTATGCATTTATGCCAGAGTGAATACAAACCAGCAGGCAGAGAGCCAGAATACTCAGCGACATCACAGCGTTGGAACACGTCCTAGATCACAGGGAAAATTAAGTGAAAATACAGAGTAATAAAAAACAAAAACACAAATCCAGCAACTCACGGCAAAATCAGAAAAAGAGCTCTGCAATAGAGTGACCATGTTCATGAAACATAAAGGCAGTCAAATCTGTAAAGACATGCTGACTTTAAATTTAAAAAGCAAGCCTCTCCATCAAATTGTTACAAATAAAGATTTTGCTTACACTTTAGTTCTGCTGTAGTTGCTTTTCCCGCTGTTCAAGGCACGTCTGTCTGATTCCCTACATTGCCCATGTTTTATACAGCTTGTGCCATGTGGGGGGGGGGGGGGGGTAATTCTGTTCTTTTAGGCTACTCCTGAGAAATATCTATGGTTGCATTATTTAAGCTCAAAGTAGCAAAGCAGTGAAACAAAAAATGGCATTATTTCAGAAAAAAAACTCATAACCTTTGTTTTTTTATAAATTTAAAATAAGTACATCACTAACATGCTACAGGAATTTGTGTTCTACAATAGGACCAATTCATTTGAAACAACCCAAAAGGTCTGCATCATTTTTGTTTACCCTAATGGCTTTGTTTTCTATGTTTAAAAAAAAAGAGGAGGTCTAAATAAGCAATAAGAGTACACCTGATTACAGCAAACTTTTCTTTGGTTCACAAAAAGATTTTGAAGTTATCATGGAAAAGTACTGATGAGTGGAGATGAAAGCTAAAAGTTTTATTAATGTAGAAAATCTACTTAAGACCAAAAGCAGCATGGTATGTTTTAATAAAACTGATGATGTGTAACTTAAGATGGCCATGGTTTTCACATTAAGCTGAAAAATGAAAGGATGCCCTAGTGTTTGGAAAAATTATGTTTCACTTCATAGAGAAATGCAAAGGGGGTCTACATCAAAAGCTACTTTTAACTACTACCTTAATCACAAGGGGCTGATACAGCAGGAAGCTTCACGTTTGATTTGACTTTTTTATTTTATTATTGTTTTTGAAATGCCGGATGCCTTGACTGAAAAGAACTTGTGGCTCATCAGGAAACAAAATTAACTCATGAAATTGTGCATTAACCATCTCAAAAATATGAAAAGCTGCTGGAAATAAAAGAACAGGCATTCGTGCTCCTTGCTATCACACAATTGTGTATTGTGTGCAAATTATACAAGAGCAGCCTAGTCAAAGCCTTTAAACGGTTAGCAGTAATGAACCAAAAGTTCAAAACTCATTAGTATATGTTAAATCCTTTGATTTTATGGCCTTTTAAAACTGCTTCATGTATCTCATCTTTAAGTCCAAATTAAACACTACTGAATACAGGCAGTTGTCTTAAGACAATAACTGCAGCAATTTCGGCCAAACGAGCAAGCATAGCTCTAAATTACTCGAAATCATACAAGAAAGGGCAGGAAATCACAAAAAACTCCTTAAACTTTCAATTTCAGTTGATAGAGGGCACAAAAAGCTTTCAGCTCCAAAATGATAAGACAACTTTAATGGCAACTATTTTCTTAGAAGGGCACTCAACAAAAACTTGGCAGTAAATCGTTGCTGTTCTGTGGCAGTCATATGAGCGCTGCACTCCAAAGCAACAGCACAAGTCCTTGCTGGTAACGTCGGCTAAACACAAACAAAAAACTTTTTCTGGCTCATATTACAGGCAAAATATTCAGATGCTGTAAAAGAAAATGACATTGTTATTCATAGAAAGCATTTACATGTTAATACTGCGATTTTCATGGCACTGAGTATCACTGCCAAGTGATCAGGTTCACTGTTAGTATGAATCTGTCAGGAAAAATGCTCCAAAACAACACTATGCTGATCAGATCAGTCAAACTTGGCATGCTTGGAGCAGACACCAACTGACTGCTGTGGCAGGAGCTGCCAACCAGCCATCAATCATGTACTTCATTGTCATCACCGGACACAGGCGTTGGGGTACAAGAAGCTCAAAACTATTTATTTACTTTTTACAAATACTCCCAGAATCTTTGCAAGCACATTTGCACTTGATGCAGAACACCCTTTACGGACTGATTTAAATAGTTTGTGACATCAGGTATTGTGATGACAAATGAGGGCCAGGTGGATAAAGCACAGAGTCCTTCAAGTGCCATTTCTGATAAAATTGATGTGCTCTCTTGTAATGCTCCTCACAAACGTTATCTACAAAGAGAGAGCCCACCTGCAGGACTATCACAAGGCCTAAATACATACATTTACTCGTACTAAAATATTAAAAGCCTGACACCCAGATGGACTTCTAGTTGAGGATTAAAGCTAAAACTTTCAGTAGGAATTCTGGAAGATAAATTATTTATTTTAGCCAGTTGCACTGGATAGTAATGACCACCTACTAAATAATATACTCCTTTCTTTATACAGAAACCTAATGCTAAACAAAGACCATGATAGAATTTAATTGCATATGCACTTTGGTAATGTATGTAAAAAAAAAACCAGAGTGAGAGCTGTATAGAAAAAAGACACACAAAACACAAACTCTGCTACTATTTACTAATTAACCTCCCTTTCTTCATAATCTCCTCCATCGTAGCACCTGGCCCCTAATGGGGAGAAAACAGTGGGTGAAACAGCTGTATAGATAATGAGAACATTATCCACTCAAAATTTGAGTGGAACAAAAAAAGATTTTTCAAACTGCAATTTTCCCCCAGAGCCTTTTTTTTTTTTTTAATTAGAAATAATTTATTTTTTTAAACTAGCTTACTATATTACAATAAAGACAAATAATATTAAAAATAATTACTTGATAGTCTTATTTTTTAATTTAAACTACTGAATAAGTAAGTGTGATCAACAAAGTCTAACTTTCATCTCAGTGGGTTTATATTGGGAGTGTACTGGAAACCAGAGACTATGTTGCATGAAGATGTCCAAATTCACTGCTTCCCCATCTGTTTTTAAACATTAGTCTGACTCATTCTTCATTTTCCATTCATGTGCAAGCAGCACGACCACAAGTTAAAAGCATTCAAACACCAGGTCCAGTCGGCTCTGTGCAGGCATCTCCTGCCTCATTACATTTTCACATTTAGCTAATGTCCTGACAATAAGTCAATGAAGCGTAATGCTTGCATGCAAGAAAGTTATGGGGATATAGTGCGAGTTGTATCAGTGTTTGTGTATGTTTTGGCTTAGTTTCTACCCTCAGGCTCCGTATTCTTTAAATGTCAAAAAGGTCCAAAAATCTATTTATCAGTCTGTTTTTTAATGTGATATTGATGTCAGAAACCATGAAAAAAGACAGAAACTCTTAATCTGTCCATGTCCTAATCAACCTAGGTGTTGGATACACTTACTTTTGAGTCTTTTATTGTCTTATTATCTTGTAAGTGCTGAGTGAATGCGTGTAACGAATAATGGCCTGGGCAACAATTTTTTTCCGAAACAAAGCACTCAGACGGATTTGGCTGAAAACATCATCTTAAATGACTTGTTTTAGTCACTCTATATTCTTCTTTCTCTTATTTATTTATTCTTGCTTGAATTGTGCAGAAAATGTGTTTCTGAGACTTGAATATATTCTAAATACAGACTATTTTTTAAATTATACCTGCAAATGTGAATACTGCTTTGCTGCTGTCAGGTTTAAATATTAAAAGGCTCTTGCTCTTCAGACACAGTTGCAGGTGCTTGTGAATAAGTATATTCACACCTGGGGAGACTGAATCAACACTGAACCTATGCATTTCGTCTGCTCGACAGCAACGTCTGCCTCTTCTTTGTCCTCACCTCGACACCATATTAATCATCAATCAACACGTCTGAAGTGTAAGAAAAAATAATTTACTTCAACAATCTAAACAGGATAAAACATACATTTTATCTGCAAACTCATGAGTCATTTAAGCATTTTACAAACACCATATCACCGTACCAGTGATGTCAAACAGTACGAAAAATTAACAGAATCATTAGAGGTTGTCAATTTTAAACACAAAAGGTGTTGGGTTTCTGGATTATTTATCTAAAGAAAAATACTGAAGGCTGACCATTAGCCTATCACAGATAAATCACTATCATTGTAAATGCTGGGATGACCCCTGCAGAGAAATGATGTGATGGCTCAGTAACATGCTTTCTATATCTGCAAATTTGCAAGAGCCTATGTCCGAGTGGTGTGTATGTCATAACAAAGTGTAAGGCACCGTGCATAAGTCTACACAATTTGTTGTTTCTGCATATTTGATGTTCTAGCATCGTACTTTCTATTCTTCACATAGTATTACCAACTACACATGCATTCAAGTGCAATAGAAAGAACTAAAAACTACTACTCATCCATTTTCTCTGCAGAATTTTTCAGAATGAAGACCCTTCTTAAGTGAACCACTGCTTGCACAGCTTTGCTGAGAGTGTTGTAAACACTGGAGTCGGTGCATACTTCGTTGGACAAGTTATGTGATGCCACAATTTCTAAATAGCCAAAAGCATGTATTTTTTTTTCTTTATGTTCCATTAAAGACTTCAGATAGTAGCTCATCTGGCAAAATGCAACCTTGAGAACAATTTGGAGTATATTTTCATTGTGTGCAAGTTTTATTAAAACCTGCCCAGTAGTAGATGGAGTAACAATTCTTGTGAACTGCAGACAGATGGATGTCTTGCCATGGGATATTATGCTCATTAGATGAGATATAATGTAGATAGTACAGTTAATATATCTGAGATCAGTATATACTGGTAAGTTGGGCTTCAGCATTTCTGTCACTTAAAGTACTTTTGGAAATCCAACAGATTTGGTTTTGACTGTAAAGAATGTATCCAAAACTCAAAGTAGTTCAGTCTGGGCACATCTTATTATTTAGCCTTAGATGTTTTCACTTTGTAACTTCAACATCAAATATGAAATCCTCAGGGAGTGTTTCAGTTGGGATACTCTTCAGCTGCTCATCGTAGCTGCGGAGAGTCCAAAGTTTTTCGAGTTCATACACTTCTCTAGTCTCTGGCAGCATGAAATGAACAACCATATTACCTGAGACACAGAAAAACAAATACTTGTAACTTTTATAGATGGTTAATTTAGTGGATAGGAATTGTTAAACAAATAATAAGGATATACATACCAAAGTCAATACACATCCAATCTTCTGCATCTTTCCCTTCAATCTTGACATTTGGATCTTCATCTTTCTTCAGAAACTTGTACTGAAGTAAAAGCATCCTTTGTATGAGTTTAAAGAACAAATATATTTAGCATGTAACAAAGAATAAACAGAGGTAAGTTACCACTTTAATGGCATAAAGTGCCATTGCGCGCAAGTGCCTTGGTGACACACCGCTGACGACAATGAAGTACTCAGCGTATTTGATTTGCTCTGGTACTTTAATCACACAGAGGTCTACTGCATTTTCCTGACGCAGAAGAGACACCAGCACATCAAGACTGAAAGTCTCCAAGGATCCTTGACAAAAAGAAAAGAAAATGGTAAAGCAGTACGAGCATGTAAGCAGCACAGGGGTCCTACTTTCTTTGAGTCACTGCAAGGCAGTTTGGAAAAAGACATTTTACAGAAACATACTGGTACTTTGAACATGAGTCACCCACAATGAAATGACAAAACTGCATTCATCCATGTAACTAAGAAGTATTTTCTAGTAATTTTATACAGAGTTGGTCCTGGTGAGGACGTTTACACAGGTGTTGATTGAAATCATTGAATAAAAAGAAATGAGATATAATCAAAGGTTGTTTATTTGATATACAAATGCAAATACCCTCCAAATTATGATCTAGCACATTTGCATGTCCTTTAATACCAATTTTTTTAAATGTTACATGTGTAATTCTATACTTCTGTGACTAATTATTTTTCTTCATTACTTCCTCTTGTCAATATGTGAAGGTGTGGACTTTGCCAGACAAATTCTGCAGTGTCTGTAACATTACACAACCTGAGTAATACATCAGCAAATATAAACATGACATTACTTTTTAATTATTTATAAATTCTGCATATCCTGTGGACATGATCAACAGGCTGCAGTTTTGTGCAGCCTGTTGCATGCTGCAGTGTCCATAACAGTAAATGACACACATCTGATGCTTATTTGGCTTAAATGAAAAACAACAGCATAAATGACAAAAAGTTTTATATTTAATGCGCAATCATGTCAGATTTAAAAATATTTAATATTTTTATTAGAGTAAGTGTTTAAAAAAAAACCACACACACGAGATGAAAAACATAAAAACCGTGAAAAACCTCTTTAACAATACCAAAACTCTATATTCCCCTGTTTTATCTGTAAGTAGTAGATATTTACATTCTTTCATCCTTCATGAAATCCCAGTGTTTACTATTACCTGCCAATTAATAACTGGCACAAATAATAAGCATATTAAGCAAGAATTTAGGCATCTGCCGTCATATTGGCAGTTTTGTCAGAAATAAGAAGCAGGACTTTGTTTTTGTGCTCCCACCTCACAACCTGAAGATGCACCATAAAAACTTTTCAGGTATCACACTTTCAAGACCAAATGTCGCGTAACCGTGAAACGTCAAGAAATTCAATTATATTACACATGATAAAGCAAGTAAGCGACTGCTCTTGAAACCTCTATCACGCTCTAAGTACTTACTGCGACTTAAGGAGCTGTTTTCGCTGCTATTATCGTCCAGTTCATGTGAATCATCTTCAATCACACCATTACTCTCTGAATTTCGGCTCTCTTCGCTTTCCGAATAACATCTTTTTATGTCAAAGTGCCCGGTGAAGGACGCTGTGTGATGCGAGTGTTGACATGAGGTAAGATTTGCTGTAAAATGTTGAGGCACAGACAGGCTAATGCACCGAGCTTTGGAGATTGAACAAATGCTTCCAAAAGCCTCTGTTGGCTTTAGTAAAACACTACTTCTCAACACCGAGGACAGCACTTTCCGCGAGTGACAGAGTAAATTCATGGTCTTCACCTGCATAACATTACAGTATTACGGAAACAGCTATCCACGAGTTTACAGCGCTAAAAACAGGAAGTGTTTCATGTCCTCGGTTTTGATTGGCTTTTAATGCATTTTTGTTGGCTTTAAGGTCGTGATTGTGGGGGGGAAAATATAGAGCTCCCCCTATCGGTAGCGAAAGCTACCGAAACTTCAGGCTGTGGATTTTCTTTGTACTCTGATTTCCACATGTAAGGTTAGTCCATTGCCCTGTGATTTACTTTAAACATGTGAAACATGTTTGGAAATTACATTTTAATGATGTAATTAATTTGCACATGCACACACAGATGTTAAGTGAAGGCCTGTGAGAGCACGATTGAGTCTGGGTTTTTTTTTGTTTGTTTTGTTTTGTTTTTTTATGTACTTGAGCAGCAGGTAGCTTGTTCCAAAGAATGGGACTACTGTAATTGAAAGCACTTTCAGCACACTTGGATCTAATTCTGGGACTAGTTACAAGATCTACATCTGATGACCCGAGCGCAATATAAACTATAAGAGGGATTTTAAAGGTAATTCTGTATTGAACTGGAGCCAATGTGACTCCAACACTTGGATATGCTCAAGTTTCCAAATGAAACAAACAAGATGTGCTTTAACTGCAGGCTGTCAGCTTTTATTTGAGGCTATTTAAATCCAAATCAGGTGAACAGTGTAGGAATTACAACAGTTTCCATATGTGCCTCCCACTTGTTAAGGGACCAAAAGTAATGGGATAGAATAAGAACCATAAATCAAACTTTCACTTCTTAATACTTGGTTGCAAATCCTTTGCAGTCAATCACAGCCTGAAGTCTGGAACACAGACATCACTAGACGCTGGGTTTCATCCCTGGCGATGCTCTGCCAGGCCTCTACTGCAACAGTCTTCAGTTCCTGCTTGTTCTTGGGGCATTTTCCCTTCAGTTTCATCTTCAGCAAGTGAAAGACATGCTCAATCAGATTCAGGTCAGGTGATTGACTTAGCTATTGCAAAAAAAGTCCACTTCTTTCCCTTCAAAAACTCTTTGGTTGCTTTTGCAGTATGCTTTGGGTCATTGTCCATCTGCACTGTGAAGTGCTGTCCAGTGACTTCAGAATTCATCGTGCAGCTTTTGTCAGCAGTCACATCACCAATAAACACAAGAGAACCAGTTCCACTGGCAGGCATACATGCCTACGCATGACACTTCCACCACCATGCTTCACTGATAAGGTGCTTAGGATCATGAGCAGTTCCTTTCCTTCTCCATACTCTTTTCTTCCCATCACTCTGGTACAAGTTGATCTTGGTCTCATCTGTCCACAGGATGTTGTTCCAGAACTGTAAAGGCTTTTTTTTAGATGTCGTTTGGCAAACTCTAATCTGGCCTTCCTGTTTTTGGGGCTCACCAATGGTTTACATCTTGTGGTGAACCCTCTGTATTCACACTGATGGAGTCTTCTCTTGATTGTTGACTTTGACACACATACACCTACCTCATGGAGAGTGTTCTTGATCTGGCCAACTGTTGTGAAGGGTGTTTTCTTCACCAGGGGAAGGACTCTTCGGTCATCCACCACAGTTGTTTTCCATGGTCTTCCTAGTCTTTTGGTGTTGCTGAGCTCACCGGCGTGTTCCTTCTTTTTGAAAATGTTCCAAACAGTTGTTTTGGCCACGCCTAATGTTTTTGCTATCTCTCTGATGGGTTTGTTTTGTTTTTTCAGCCTAATTATCGCTTGCTTCACTGATAGTGACAGCTCTTTGGATATCATCTTGACAGTTGACAACAGGTTCCAAATGCAAATAGCACACTTGAAATGAACTCTGGACCTTTTATCTGCTCATTGTAATTGGGATAACAGGATAATGAGCGAATAACACACCTGGCCATGGAACAGCTGAGAAGCCAATAGTCCCATTACTTTTGGTCCCTTAACAAGTGGGAGGCACATATGCAAGCTGTTGTAATTCCTACACCGTTCACCTGATTTGGATACAAATACCCTCAAATAAAAGCTGACAGTCTGCAGTTAAAGCACATATTGTTTGTTTCATTTGGAATCCATTGTGGTTGTGTATAGAGCCAAAAATGTTAGAATTGTGTCGATGTCCCAATATTTATGGACCTGACTGTATGCATAAGGACTCTGCCTGTTGCTTTCTGAATAAGCTGAAGTTGTCCCACTGATGCAAATTGAGCATTCAAATAGTCTAACCTGCGTGATATGAATGCATGGACCAATTTCTCACAGTCAGGTTGAGGTAAAACATTCCTCATTTTGAATATGTACTTTAAAGTGATAGAAAGCCCATCTAGTGAACAAACCAGTTATCAAACCAGACTTGCTCATTGTGTTTCCGAGAAATGAATGATAAATATGAACAAATGTTCTCTGACCTTTTTGAGCAACAACAAATATTTGCCTCGTCTCTGTTCAGTTCTAAAATAATGTTGAAAATGATGACAGCAGATACTATGATCATTTATTGCTCCATTAATTTGCAAACAAGGGTTAGATCATTGGAGGAAAATGATGACTACAACTGTGTATCATCTGAATAGGATATTTTATGCTGGAACATGTAAAAGCTAAAGAGTAATAGTCCAAGAACAGACAACTGAGGAACCCCTGATTTAATTTGTTACATTTGTCCAGATCTAAAAACCACTAACTGAAGCATATACACGTCCTTCTTTAAGATATGATGAAAACCTGACCCATTAAACCAGCTGACCCATTCGGGGAATGGACACAGGAACTCTGGGGATGTCTTGTGATGTTTGGTTGTTCCTTTATATCCAGTGGACATGCAATTGCATTTAGATCTGCAGACTTTGTAGGTGGGATCAACAGCTTGGTCTATTCTTCTGAGCAAGTCTCAAATGAAGTGTATTGTCCTGCCCCGCCGTCTGGAGGTGCCTTTGTAGTGAATGTGAGCATCACTGTTTTGGTGAGTGGTGTGCGTCACAATCACATCCACATGAATGCCAGGACTCAAGGTTTTCCAGAAGAACATCTAATTGTACATATCAATTCACCTGCCATATTTTATTGTTGCATCTCATCAAATGTTGCAGCTCTTAAATTGGAGTTGATGTTATATTCATTATTTCCTTAATTTCAATTTCAGTTTCCAGCAACATTTAAATCACTCTGGCTTTTTATTTCGTATTTACTTTCTTCAAAGCCTCTGCTACTTTGATGAACTGTAAGACTGGCATGGTTGTGTATAGAAGAAAACAAAACTGCTACTTACTAATGAACTGTTTGTTGAAACTTTTGTTCATTATAATCATAATTGTGTGCTGTCAACATTTTGTCTAGCAGCTGGATGACAGTCACAACAGTACTATTGTCTGCTGTGTCAGAAGGACAAGTAAAAAAAATGCACCTCTTAAATGTTGTCAGAAAGAAAGGTATAAAATTCATTATTTGCATTTATTTTGGTAGGAAACTATGACAGGAGAATGCTACAGTTTTATAAAATCAACACCTCTGGCCTGAACAACCCCTGATATATAAAATGCATCGATTATAAAACCTTTATGCTATAAATCTGTATAAAGTTCACCTGAGGTATAATCTCCTTGGTCATTAAAATTACAAATTCAAGTATATAGTCAAAACACTCTTGTACCTGTACAGAGTAAAGCAGTGCACTTTTTTTGTGCATTTTGTACTGTTGTTTGAATGAGTCCTCATTCATCAGCAGAGTCTGAGTCCATAACCACATTCAGTTTCAGTCCCACAGGAATATGGTCCGTAAGCCCAGCCAGCTGAGTTATAAAGGTCACCTCTTCAATTTCCTAAATGGAAAAAAAAGATTTTATGCATTTTCTAATGATAAATTATTCTTCTAAATGAGGAGGCTGTCAGTAGTTCTGCAATTTGCAAATATTTTCTGAATGATCTACAGATATAAACATTTCAAACACAAATGAGCAAATGAAAAGACTAGGGACTGAACACAGGGAAATAAGAGAGGCACATACTGTTCGGCACTGCTTCGAAATGGAGCTTTCGCGGTACAGGATATAGTCGATCCGTCGTCCGATCCACGGCTGGTCAGTTTCAGGGTATACCAACGGAAAGGCCGCCTTAGGTACAGGAGGAGCGATAAACCTCTTTCTCAGATCCTCACTCTCCAAAGTCCTACAAGAGCATGAAAAAGACAGGGAAGGTTGCTGTAACCATAAACAGTGTGTAAGGATTTCTTATCAGAAATGTAGTTTTCCTGAAAACAACAAAAGTGGCAAAAGTACCTCTGTAGATTTTCTGGGGTGTTTACATCTTCTTCATACAATGTGGGCTGTTCCAGCAGAGTACCTTCAAAAACAAACCATAAAAATTCTCTAATCTTTGTTGAAATTTGTCATATAGTCAAACTATGAAGTGCTACAGGGAATACATAGTACAAACCGGTGACCCAGGGCTTCTCCTTTCCAGGTCCGGCCCTGCAAGGGTCTTTGTATTCCTCAAAAACAGAGTGACTCTGTTCCTGACGATCATCTAGATGAATACATTTTTAAAACTGGTTAAAAACACAATATTAATAAAAAGGAAAAATATTAACAGAATAAAGTCTTGCATGAGACAGCAACACACCAGGTGAGCAGTTGTCAAAGTTGAAATCTCCACAGAGCACATCAAAAACAACATCCTCATCAGGTTGTTTGTTGGCAGCTTGAAATTCCGCGATCCACTTAGTTACCATTTCTAACTGGATACAACGAATTTCCCCTTCACCTGAAATAGGATTACACAGAGGGTCTCCTAAACACAACTTAAAATAAAAAAATAAAAAAATTTAAATATGAAAAGATTTTATAATTTGTTTAATTAAGCCAAATCAGAAATTGGGACCTACCCTCTGGTGCATGAAGGTGTGTGCAGTTAAAATAGCCAACCACTCTCTTCTGTTTCTGGTTCTTCCCAATAAGCACCTAGAAATTAAAACAAAAACAAAAAAAAAAACAATCATGGCATCATATTTTCTGTTTATTCAAACTGATACAAAAGCCCAAGTATTAATTCTATTTTACATAAAAGCAACAAAGTCCAATGAAATCAACAC